ATGCGGTCACACACACACACACACACACACACACACACACACACACACACACACACACACACACACACACACACACACACACACACAGCTCACCAAATAAGTGCGCCAAAGTACATAACGTCCATGACGCGCTGGGCGTCAACTGACATCAGGTTCACAATCTCTCCAACGGTCGACGTCCGCTTCGCTGCGTTGGACATCGTCAGTGACTAACAAAATAGAATGTAATGCACGAGTTAGCTCTCCCTCTCTCGCAGCACCATTTACGAACGCACGCTCCTCTCTCTCTTTTTTTTTTCGTTCTCTTATTTTTTCTATGTAGGGTTCTATCACTTTGTCCAGCCACCTCTCTTTTCCGCTGTCTCGCCATCTGTGCGACTCTCTCCACCTTTCACTCGTCGTCTTCCTTTTTTCTAAAAGCTAAAAGCCATTTCTCTATATTCCAATAGAATCCCTCAATATATCGCCTACCCCTTCTTCCTCTTTTCCCCTTCTGTCTCTGGTACTGGATTTGTTCAATCCTTTTCCCTGATTTTCTATGCGGTAGCCTTTCCTATCTCTGATTTTCTCATTTACCTTCCACTTCATTCCCCTCGTTGTTTCTCTCCTCCTCCCCATCAATTTCTCTCGTCTTCTCTCTCGCCTTCCAACATTCCCCTTCTCTCGCTCCAACCCTCTCCCCTTCTCCTTCTTTCCCCACTCCCTAACTCTCCCTTTCTCCCTCTCTCCCCTCTCTCTGCCTATCTCCCTCTCTCGCCCTCTTTTTACTTCTCCCCCTCTCTCCCCTCGCCGTCCCTCTTTCCGTCTCTCCCTCTCTCTCCCCTCTCCCTCCCTATCTCCCTCCCCCTTGTTCTCTCTCCCTCTCTCTCCCCTCTCCCTCTTGCTTTCACCTCCCACTCCCACTCCCTCTCGCCTTCTCTCGTCTCAGCTTTCCTGCTCACTCTCTCTCTCGCTTGCTCTCAGCCTCACCTTTTTGTAAATCAAGCTGGTGAGAGAGGAGCGGATGCGCATGCCGACAGACAGCATCTTCGTGTAGTGCACGTGCGTGCACAGGCTCTGTGTGACCGCCGCGCCAAAGATAAGCGCCGTGTAGAAATAGCCGCGCCACGCCGGCTGAGTCGTATCGCTCGTAAACGCTATCAAATATCTGCGCAACGCAACAACGACAAAAAGGGAAATAATAACAACGATGATTTATTCATGCGAAAAAATTATTAACGGATGTAATGAGGCTATTTCAAACAGTCGTGCCTGGGCGGGGAGTGATAGGGAGGAAGAAGCGGGGAAGAGAAAGGTTAGAATGGAGCGAGGTGAAGATGGGGGTATGACGAAAAATAGGGAGGAAGGGAGAGAAGAGAAATAGGGGAAGGAAAGGAGTGAGGAAGCGAGGAATAGGGAAGAAGAGCTCAAATAAATCTAACGAATCGTATATAATTATATCGTATATATTATTAAAGTAAGTTTGCTATAATAATTTTGATACATCCTGATATAATACGGTAATGTATAATAATCTTATTGGGTTCACTTACTTTAGTACTGTCGGCGACACAAACTGTATCGTGTCGCTGACTAACTTTACCAGGGAAGCGAACAGCAGTGTCGGCCCGTACACCTTAAATATTGTTCTCATTATGCTTGGCTCGTAGAGAGGACTCTGCTCTAATCCGGACTCAACCTCTGCTCGCCGCACTGCCTTCATCCTAGCAACACAAAGCGTAACAATAGCAATCGGAGATAGCAAACCTCCGCCACAGCGTAACAGTCACCCCATCTTGCTGGTACACTCAATATAGTTTGATAAAATTTTCAGAAATTTGAAAAAAAAGAAAAAAGATCCAGGATTTTTTTTAATGAATTTTGAATGCGTCCGATGTCTTTCCCACAAAAAATCCTGGATTCAGATCTGGATCCGGATCACCCCCAAAATCTAATCGATTGCTTCTTGGCCCAAGACCAACCCGTCCAAAAATGTTCATCAAAATTCGTCCGTGACTTTATGAGATATCCCGTTGACAAACAAACAAACCAACAAACCAACCAACAAACAAACCAACAAACATACCAACAAACGAACAAACAAACTAATAGGGGCGAAAACATAACCTCATTACGGAGGTAACAACATATTAGTAATATGCAACGACAGGTTAACAACTCGATAATAGAACGCAGCAACGCGTAGTACACGTGACGACGCGCCACAACATGCAGCAATACGCAACCAACACTGAATAATATGTAACTGTGTTACTGATATTATAAGCTACTACTCTATTCTGGTGTAAAGGTGTTAAACCAGGATAAACCAGGTGTTACGTGGCTTCAGTGAAGGAGTATTTCGAAAGGCTATTTGAGAAGAGCAGCGCTTCCTGCGCATATGAGCGCGCCCAATTTAAAAAAAGGGGTTTCCTAATTCATAGTTATTTAGAAATCATCAGACTCGTTTCATAATTTTTAGTTTTACCATAATGTAAATATTGTGTTGCCACACATTTTGTGTGTTTATCCTTCGGAATTAACTAGCGGCATGTTTTATTTTTTTATTTATTGGATTTCCAATGCATCTATGATAACAACCTATGGGAACGAACCCAATCAATGATTAACGAGACATCGCTCACCGTTTAACCTTGATGATTTCCTTGTCCCACTTGGCTTCGAATTCGGGCAGCAGTCGCTTGCAAGTGTCCTCCGGATTAAGATCCCAGAGGTCATCTCTCTCCAGCGCCCTCTTGTAGCCCTTGCGAACGAGTCTGCAAGCAGACAGACGTTAATCTCGCGAAACCTCACGCGAGATAATACTTAACGCCAGCTCTTTTAACCCTGTCGTATCAACCTCTCTCTCACACACACACACACACACACACACAACACACACACACACACACACACACACACACACACACACACACACACACACACACTCTCTCTCTCTC